AAGACGATTTGTGAGACTGGTAAACTTATGATACGTACGATGGTCTTTCGTTCTACGTGGTGCATTTCATGGTCCTGTACCCATCCGTCGGTAAACTGTTCCTGGGCTTCTTGCAGTGACCTGAAGTTACTGAACTTCATGAGTGTATGCACTCACTCCAAGAACCGTATAATTATAAATATGAGCGTGGTGAAAGTTGGGCAGCACGCTAACGTATTTTGTCCACTCTGTGTGCTCTTAAGGGTCTAACCCTTTCACTCCTTTGATTTTTTCCTCGTATCTTTTCTTTGCCTTTTCATCAAGTCTGTCTTTGTACGGACTGGAATTGTTCTCCTTCGTTTTGTACATAACTTTTTTGGGGGGCAAAGAAAAAGCAAGAAGGTATTGGAACCGGAGAAAGAACGTTTTGCGGTGCTGCAAATGCTTGCATTTGATGCGGTACTTAGATTGTTTTGCCACGAGTTACCGGCATGCAATGCGCGAAAGTCACGTGGTCTGTCAATCTCTATACAAATACAGGCCATTTACCATTATTCAACATTACTATATTCCAGAAACGTACCTTTTCTCAGTTCCCATGCGTCAATATCTGGCTTGTTAAAATAAGTGACCCAGCGGGCATCGAACTCCTCGTCTGTCTCCTGCTTCCCATGTGAATAACACCTCGAGGCCAGAAGAGCTGCATGATAAGACAGAATTTTTTTTCAGTGATTTGTGTCTAATAAAATAAACCTACAGTGCCTGTTAAATAAATGCGGAAGGACCGGGCTACATCATATTTTAAAATTTTCATACATGACGGGCGAAATATTAGGGACACTTACACTACCACCCCAACTCTAACTTCAATAATAATCATGATAATAATAAAAACAACGTTTTCTTCAAACCAACTAAAACTGAAAATGCAGTCATTCCTAAAGTAGATTTGATGGCATCAGTGCTGTTGCACTCGCCAGTATTAAATTTCATAGGTGTATCTAATAAAGAAGCCGGGAATTGTATCTGCGACGTAAAAAGGACAAATTCTTCCTTGTAATGTGATGCAGTTGGATCGCTGCCACCGTCCTGATATGACCTACCTTGTGTATCAGTCTGCACGTAGCAGATTGACACACTAGGACGTGACATACCGGAAATTTCTGTCACATGGTCCTCAGGTTATATTTAATAGCAATTTAAATGAAACAATATGACTTAGGCATGTGCTCAGGTATCATGTTAATACTAATTAACCTGCAACCCAAAGAACATTTCTCATTTAGACTTTTTGACCCCGAAAGAAACACCAAGACAATGCAAAACTATGCAGAAAAGTATTCCGTTTGTTTTTCATAAAAATCTATGCCAAACTCCGTTTTGATGTTGAATTCTAGTTGGCTGAACTCTCCTGCAGTCACCTAGCCTACTTAGCAACTAGCGTCAGCAGGCACAATCACAGGGCCCGAGACGAAGCCTTCTAGCCGGGTCATGACAAGGACATAAACTCCGCCAAGAAGAATAACAGGACATTTTTCAAAGCACCACACCCACAGTTTACGTGGGAAGAAGCTGGACTGAATAAAAATGTGGATATCATGGCTGAATCATTATAATGCAGTTTCGTAATGTTTATTAAATAGCGATTTTTCTTGAATAAAAGCTAGCTAGCTTAGCCGTAAAGGAACCGCAAATGTGCCGACAGTCACACTTGATTTCCGTTACATTGTCTCGCTGACAGTTTCTAAGCAACTATATCAATTACAGATTAATATATTTACAATGGGTGACTAAATTAGGAATTACCTCGGCTCCCTGGTTGCGTCCGAGTTAAACTTCGGACACCGGAGACTGACAGTCGGACGGCGGCTCTGAACATGATGCGAGACTACGAGCTACACGGACCGGTGCGGTCTGTCCGAAGGAAGCTAGTGCTAACTGTGTTAGCCTGGCACGTACGCAATCTCCTGTTGCGCACGCGCAAACTGCAGCTCATATTTACCCTTGACTTCCCTAGAAAGAAATTGCAGGATTGAGAACTGGGAAAACATGTTAATATTTGCAATGTCATTCTCACAGAGAAGTATTTTTTTATGCGATATCTTTTCTTTTCTTTTTCTTTTTCTAATGCTAACGATACAAAATAGATGTTTCAAAGGTGCTTGATGATAGAATTGCACACAAGTTGAAACTGTAAGACACAGAGCTTTCTTAAAGCAGAACATTTTAGATTTATGATCATTTTAGTTAGATATAAGTGGTGATGTGCATGAAAAAGGTGTGTGTGCAAAACTTCAATGTTGGACATTTAAACTGCTTTTATTTCATGTCATCAGGCACTAAAACCTCAAGAATAAGATGCATACAATTAAATTCATGTCCTTTACTATTTATTCAGCCTGGGTCAAAGGCGAACTGGAGCATTACACATAACCTATGCAGGTCACCGGTCTACCACAGATATAAACAACTACACCGATTGCCAGTTCAAAGTTAACCTAAAAATAACAATCTCTTGTGAGGTAGAAAGCACACACAGGTGGAACATGCAGCTTTTACACAAAGAAGTCCCAACAAACCTGGAGGTTAGTGAGGTGACCACTTGACCACTGTGTCACTTTATGATTCATTTCCATTGATGTGACTCTACTACAAAAGAGTACCATCATTATCAAAGTCAGTCAAACAAACCAAAAATGTATGCTCTTGTGAGCCATTATTGTGCACATGAATTATTTCCACAGGCAGAAAACAGAATAAAGACAACTGATGCAAAACATGTTCTGTATATTTAAAATGACTATGAACAAATTCATGACTACTGGTTGATTAAATATTAAATATTAAATATTAATATAACTACACTAAAACACCATCATCAGCTTATAAAGTGGGCCAAATAATCATTTGATCCCCTGCAGAAGTTTGTTCACATGCAAAGAAATGATCAGTTCTTGTTTTTTAAGGTAGTTTCATGTTAATGGAGAGAGACAGAATATCAACCAAAAATCAAAATCCACATACAACACAGTACATAAAAGTTATAAGTTGAATGCCTGACATTGATTGAAATCAGTATTTAATCCCCAAGCAAAACATGACTTAGTACTTGGTGGAGAAATCACTGTCGGTAAACACAGCAGTAAGACATCTCAGGAGGAATTTTGGCCCACTAGCTCTTTAAATCCTCATAAAAATCCGAAACTGTTCATTTCTTTGTAAGTGAGGCAACATAGAAATTCAGCAGGATTAAAATATTTCCCCCTCTATGACTACAAATCTATTACTGATATTGTTGCTAATAATAGTTATAGTCATATGTTAACCTGTTACATTTCACAACAAAGTGACAAAGTATTGCAAAGAAGCATTATAGACACAACTGTTTACTTTTGTAGCAAAATGCCTTACATAAGCATCATGATAAACCCCCAGAAATGCAGAGGTATTATTTTCTTCAAGAAAGCTTCATGCTGTAAAACAGAGCACACAACAATCTATTAAATCTATGCAAATGCAAAATTTCTTATTTCTCATGAAGTAATCAGAGGTTTAGGGAGGACATGCACTCGAATCATCCAGACAGAGTCTCTTGGCTGTGTGTGGGGACGAGTGAGCATGAGCCGTCCTGAGCAGACCCCTGTGCCTCTCAGCCTCCTCTGTGGGAACACTGATGATTTGTGGCGGCTGATATCCAGGCTCCTGGGGGTCCAGAGGATCTTTAGATAGATAGATGCAGATGGCAGGAACTCTCCGCTCCATGGTTATACCTGGTGCTCCAGGCTGTGGACTCTTCCAAACCTCCTTCACTGTGTTATAGTAGAGTTTGGACACCTGGTGCAGACCTTCAACTTTACGTTTCAGAATCTCCACACAGGTGATAGTTTTTGTGACTCCTCTGCCTGAGCCAGTGAAGACCACCTGTCTTAGTGACATCCCATTTGGGTTTCTTACTTCCCCTTGCATGCGAGCTGCTGCAAACTGCAGTAAGCTGCGAATCTTGCTTCCTCCTTTTACTCGCATGTGCAGGATGTCTGCGGCCAAGCCTGGGATCGGATAGGGAATGCTGTCCTCTGTGCGGCTGATTCTCCTGAAGTTGTTCTCACCAGCAGTTTTTGGAAGTGGCAACGAGATCTGGACAGAGGGACTGAATGAAGTAGGCTGCTGTTCCATTGTAGTGCCACATATAACACTGTTCATCTGACCCCTGGGTTAAGTCATTACTTAGAAAGCAGCAAAATAACAGTGCGGGAAGCTGCAGTAACAGACTATTTGTATGTCTCCTTTGGGATCTAAAACATTGTTCTTGTTCCTTTACTCTAAGAAAGTAAAAGCTGAATGGCTCCGTAATCTAAACTTGTCACTTATCTTGATCCTCTCTCTTCTCCGTCCAAGCTTCTTTTTCATTTTGCCTTTATGAGCGCTGAGATGGCAGCCAGCAGAATAAAGAGGGCACTTCTTCCACTAATCCCACTGAAGTGAAGGAAAAGATGTCCTTGCTCTTTTCAGCACTGAGGACAGCTGATGCCAACAGACACATATGAGGCTCAGAGAGAGACATGTAGAGTGGGACATAGTGCTCTTAAAGGCACATGCAACATTTTGCCTCATTTAATAATGTCTGTATATTTCAGCTAGTTGGGTTTCTTGTTAAAAGGCTTAAGGGATCTGGGAATGGTTTTGTCTGTGTGGTTGCTTGAATTATACAGATGAATAAACACGAGTTAATGAGATCAAGGCACGCAGCTGAAATAAATCTTTGTTTTAACTGAACTCGACTCAATTGTGCCACTTTGCTGACATTCTTAATGTGCGGTTTTGCAGATATGACACCAAACAACCAATCTCACTCAAGATGTGGAGAAATGCTTGTCATTGTAGTATATAATGGAGTGTGGTTTTTCAAGATTATTTTCCCAGTGCGCTATCATCAGAGAGCCATATGGTCCAAGAGAAATGTCTTCCTTTGGGCTATTACAGCAGCTTCACAGCTCTCCTCCTTTCAGTGCATCGCCTGCTGGGCTGACCCCAAAATAATCCTTGCTACAAAAGTTGTGCTTCTTTTTAAGAAATGACATGTACAAGGACAATCACATCTTGGGGCTGCTACTTTTTATTGTCAGACCATAAGTACATTAAATAGAAAGACAGAAAATCAGTATCCAGATGGGAACAGAGGTGCATTGGTTGCAGCTCTCTTTAGAGAAGCTGATCCAAGGGAGGAGGTGAGGAGGCAGCTGGAGGGCTCATATGGAATCAGCATGCTGTTATAATGGTGCATTTCTGCCTCGCAGGATGGTATGCACCCCATGTTAAACAATCAGCAGAAGCATGAAATGCATTATTCAAATTAAGTTACTTTACAGACGAATTATCTGCTTTTCATAAACATCAATTAACAGCAGCATTCCCATCCCGAGAATACTCATTAAATATTTCAAGGTGGTTCACTGGAGGCCTTGCGCACGCTCCAGAATCTCCCCAAGTGTTTATTTTTATCCGACATGTTTAGTGTTGCTGGAAAATGAACAGAAGCTCCAGCGCCCAGCTGCGTACCCAGTTTAAACATCCTTCAGTCTCCAGTTTATGTTTTTCATAACATAACAGTTATGGGGTTTGATCCGCTGTATTTATATCGAAAAGGTCCTTAGAGTTAATGGTCACACCCCCATCTTGTAGAAGAAAGTACATATTGCAAAACTAATATCACCGTGGGTTAAAGTGAACCTGCATTACAGGAATGTTCAAGCATTAGTTTGTTCTAAAAAAACATGCTTTTGGAAGAATATGAAATTAATGTCTTATGAATACATCTATAGATGAACTGCTAGATACATACATATGGATGGATCATACCTGCTCTTTTCTCTCTGTTTTTGTAGGGTGATTATATACAAATGCTGAGGGGAAGTGGGGGTGATGAATGTGATCAATCTGAAAGTGTTGAGCATGTAATAGGGATCAACATGTATGTACATACTTTTTTGTACTCCATGTAGGACTTGATGATTGACTGTTTATTTCATTTCACATAGATTTTGTTGACTTTGATTGATTGTGCATGTATGTATATGTACATATACACGTGAATATGTGTTTGTGCACTCAAACAAAAAACTATTTGAATGGTCAAAAAAAACACGGAAAGGATTTTCACCTGATTAAATTGGTTTATTTTAGCATTATTCAATTCTTTCAACTTCATGTACTTTAGTTAGTTAACTTAATTAAATAATGATGACTCAGCTTATTTACTGCAGTTGAGCCCAACTTAATTTAATTGAGTTGATCAAATCCAGGCAAATTACATCAGTCCAACAAAAGTACTGAAAGACATTTAGAAAGGTGGAAATCCTTTTCATGATTATTTTAAGTTAATTTAAAGAGTTATTTTTTGGAGTGTTCAACTAAGTCAGAGTCTGGTTAGCATAAAACTTGTCATGCACATTGTTTTTTCCTCCAATTTAATGGATTTAGGACATAGCTGTCACTCCATAAATCCTTTTCCACTTGTCTTCATCCGAGTCTATTCCTGTCATAGGTCGAGAGGTAGGGCTAACCGTGGACAGGTTACCACTCTATCGCACAGAGACCGACAACTGTTCACACTCACATTCACACCTATAGCTAAATTTGAATAATTAACCTAATCCCACAAACTGCAGGTACCCAGAGAAAACATGCAAACTCCACACAGAAAAGCCCTGGCCAGTGGATTCAAACTCAGGGGCTTCTTGCGTGAGGCAACAGTGCTAACCACTGTTTTTTTATTATTAATCCTTTATTTATCCAGGTAAAAAATCTCATTGAGATTAAAAATCTCATTTCCAAGAGAGACCTGGCATCATGGCAACAAAAGTCACATACCACATAGGTATATAACATATGTTAGCCCTTGACAGGTTAAGCCACAATAACCATCAGCATACACGTGGTGTGTATGCTTTTCTCATATTCAATTTTGAGGTTTTTGTTTAAATCATTTGAATGTTTTTCACTTATGCAAGACATACATTTTTACCTCAAGGCGCTCCGTGTTTCATGTTAATGTCTTAAACCAGAAAAAGCCACAGACAATCAATATTCATTCTCACAGTTTTTGTTTTTATTATAAAGAACAGAAAATGACATATGTGTGTATGTATCCTGCTTTTCTCAGCATGGCTATGAAGCAATCACTCGTGAAATTTCCTGCTGGATTTTGTCCTCTTGGGTGTTTATGTCGATATCTCCCACCTGCCCGTTTTCATAGCTGTGGAAGAAGAAAGCAGCCTTTTTAGGAAGCTCAAATAAAGTCCAGAGTTCTGACTTTCTGAAGAAAAAAAATGTTGGAACTGTTTCTAATTGTTTGCTTTTGCTTTCTGCTTTTTGTCTTACTCACACAAAGAGGAACCGCGTGCACACGTGGTCGGAAACCGGACACACCCAAATGTTGCCGTGTTTTTGCAGGTTTTTAGAAGTTATCACTGTTAACAGATGGACAAAATCACATCACATGCAATTAAATAAATCTTTGTTGCTTTGTGGGGTCTTCCGTATTTACCTTCACAGAGTGCAACACAGTTTAGGTTCGTGCTTTGCAGAAATCTGCCTTCCCCCACTTGTTCCTAAAACACATAGAAATACAAGATGAGATACTGAAAGCAAAAAATTATATTGTACTCCAGAGTGAATGTTTGCAGCATTTAGATAAATGTGAACAACCCGACCTGCTTGATTTGGTTTATTCGGTTGTATTTCTGCAAGAGTTCTTCTCTGGTAGGAATTTTGTACTGACCTTTCCCCATCTCTAAAGAAAAAGGGAAGAATACTCCTAAAAACATGCAAAAAGAACTCGTAATCGACAGACAAGAAACAGAGTTCCTACCAGAATATCCAAATGATATGCTTGAAATGGGACTCAAATAGATGCCTTTCCCATACGCAGCACCATGGAGCTAAAATAGAAAGAAGGGAGAGGTTTCAGTGGTCTGAACATCCACCTAAAAATTTCCTATGTTGAAATTGTCTGTAACTTCAGAGGGTGATCAAAGACAATAAGCATTTAGAATTTATATATTCTACCTGTAACTTTGTGTAAGATGCGTTAACCAGCCCGTTTCTCAAAATAGAGTGCCAGTTTTCAATGTGGGAACCACTGAAAGAAGAGGATAATTATCTACTAAGCATGGATCGTGCTCTATATACTGTATAAGTGATGATGTGAAAATTTCATGACAAAAAAAAATCGTTGACTTCACTTACTGGAAAGCAAAGGTGCTGCCATAAAGCTTTTTGGCAGTTTGAAAGTGAGCCTCCTTACATGGAGGGCTGCTGATCAACAGGAACTGATGGGGTGTGTGCATAAACGTCAGTTGCTGTTAAATAACAATTGATTAAAAACAACAACAACAAAAAAACATTAAATTATAGAAAGCACAGTATGAAATTTGATATGTGGCTGCTAATTATTAACTAGTCTACAACTGCTTTAAAGCTTGCAGCTAGACTGCTAATAAATCTGCCTGCTTGGGAATACCCTGCTCAGCGGAAGCTTCACAATGTGCGATCTGTTGCTTGCTAAAATCCTGTTGTAAAACACACAAAAGCAAATCCAGATGTTAACCTAAATATAACTGGATTTCAATCAAGTTACTCTTTTCTAACACTTTCATTTAAACGACTTCAGGCGCGACGCTGCAATTACTTAGCCCAAAACAATGCGCTTGCCAAGTTTGAACTAGACTCGATGAATGGCTACTGAGGCGAGTGAGTAACAAAAGGACAGATATGCAGCGATCTACTAAATAATAACTAAAAACACATCCAGATTTAGTCTCTCACCACTGCAGCAATGGATGTGCGAGAGGGTCTATCTTGTCCAGCTGCTTCTTAATCTCAGAATATGGACCCTGAGTATGATTTAAAGACAATTTAATCATTATAATCTAATAAATCCAGTTCAGGAAATCATTTACCTGCTTTGAGTTTGTGCTCAGTCAGCAGACCGATGTGTAATTGTTGAAAATGAGAGTGTAGATTTTACTTTAAAAGACCTCACCTGTGCCATCCTCCTGACCAACAAGACATTGTCCAGAGCTTTCTGCAGCCTGTCATAGCTTCTGCTCTGTTACAACAAAAGCGAAAACAAATCAGTAAAATGACACACTGAATAGTGCACGACAGATCACGCC